GGCCCACGTGACGCCGGGCGCGCGTCCGCCAGCGGCGTCTGCGGCAGCCTTGTCCCGGGGGCGACCGGGCACAGACGGCGGGGTGCCGAGCTCCCGGCACGGCCAGACGGGGGCGGGCGCCAGGAACCGACACCACCAGCACGGGCTTGGGAACCACGTTTATTGAAAAAGTAAAAAGTGTCACAATAAAAAAGTCACCTGGTGACAAAGCCAGGCCAGGACGGGGCAGGGCAGCGGCAGGGCGGCAGGGGCGCGGGGCGCGGGCCGGGGCCGGGCTTTCTCCAGGAGAGCGGCCCCGGGGCCAGGGTCCGCTCAGTCCATCCTGGCGCCCTGGAGGAGCTCCACCAGGTCCTTGAAGTCCGGGTCGATGAGGTCGGAGGGCAGGTCGCCGTCGTCGTTGACCGCCTGTCTGTCTGCTCCCAGCGAGATGAGGTACCTGGTGCAGAGAGTCCGTGAGTGGCGCGCGGGCGCCGGAGCTCGCGCCCCGCACCCAGGGCGGTGGCTGGGTGCCCCCGGCAGTGGCGGTGGGGAGAAACCCGAGCCTCTGGAGGCTGCAGCCCAGTTTTCCGCTTTGCTCTACGGAGGGGGTCGGGGTGGAGCCCCGCAGCCCTGGGAGCCCTCTCACCTGGCGATGTCCGGGTACCCGTCGCTGCAGGCGATGTGCAGGGGCGTCCAGCCGCTCTCGTCCCGCTGGTGGATGTCAGCCCCGTACTTGACCAGCAGCTTCACACACTCCAGGTTCCCAGAGAGCACAGCTTCGTGCAAGGCGGCCAGGCCTAGGAGGGCGGGGGGTGAGAACAGAGCTCAGGCCCTCTCCGCACACTGCCCTGCAGACCGGCGGCCCGCACCCGCCGGCACTCACCTGAGGGGTAGATGGTGTCCAGGGAGACCTTCCGGGTCCGGATGAAGCGCCCCACCTGCACCAGGTCACCCTGGCGGATGTGGTCCAAGAACAGGACGTCGTTGGGGAAGTGGACGCTGCGATCAGCCAGCATCCGCCGCCGTCGCCGCCGCTGCTGTGGGCTGTACCGGGTGTAGCTGACGGTTCTGCTAGGCATCCTGGGGGGCTGTGGGGTGGCTGCCCCTTGGGGGTGAGGAGCGTGCCCACTCAGGGCAGAGGTGCACGCAGGCTACCCTGGCTGATGGAGACCTCCCCAGCAAGGCACCCCTGCTACTGCTCTGGGGCAGGCCGCTCGCTCCCCCTTATATAGGGCCGCAGAGCTATATAAAGCTGCATGGTCATGCCCGCCACCACGAGGACCTGAAACCGAGCCTTCTGTCCCTGCCCAGGATCATGTTGGGTGGCTCATCTTTCACCCCACCTGTTGCCGTGCCTAGCCAAAGGGGTCAGATCCTTCCTGGCTACCACCCCTGCCCCACAACTGGACCCAGAAGGTGCCTCGTAGAGGGCAGGAGAAGGCCCTAGAAGGACAGGGCCCAGAAGGAAGGCCAGGGGCCTGGGCAAAGCCAGACCAAGGTCACCCACAGCCCCAGAGAGTCAAGAAGAGGGGCATGATGGGTGGCAAGCATGGCCCACCTCCCTGCTCCAACCTGGGCATCCAGGGGGCCTGGCACGGTGGATGAGCCAGGGTGCTGAGTGTGGGTGGAGAAGGCGGCCCAAGCCCCACCCGTCTGTCTCCCTGCTGTTGGCTGCTGTCAATCCCACACAGAACAAAGCCCTGCCCAGACCTGCACCAGCCCTGTGATGATCACGGTCAGGCCACTGGAATCCGTGAGGGTTCCACTTACCTGTTATTGGGAGTCAACCACAGGCCTTTATTGTCATCTTGATCTGGAAGCTCCACAGGATCCATTCAGCAGCATGGGAACGCGCAGGCCTCCCCCGACGGCTGACAGCTGCACTTGAGGTACACTAGCTGGGAACGGAACCCGGGTGTCCCACCCCCAAAATGCAGACCAGACTGGCTGCTGCCAAGTTGGTTCTGACTCGGTGAGCCCTGTGGGTTTCCAAGACGGTAAATCTTCATGGAAGCAGACTGCCCCATTTTTTTTCCACAAAGCAGCTGGTGGATTCGAACCAGAGACCTTTTGGTTAGCAACCAAATCCCTTAACCACTGCACCACCAGAACACCTTGGGTCTCCCACAGTGAAGGTGCGAGTTTCACCACCAACCGTATTCCCAGGCATTAGGGCCTTGAGGTCCCTGTGCCCACAGGAGCCCAGCCCACCCCGTGTGCAGACACCCCTCCCCCACTGCAGGCCCCCCTGTACCTCCCATGCAGACACCTGACCCCACCCTGCACAAACTCTCTTGTTCTCAATTCCTGGCACTTCCAGTGCACTTCCTTGCACTTAGGACAGGAAGCTAGTCTGCCCGGAGGACAGGTAATCATGCCCCACCCGGTCCAGGGCAGATATTCCTAGGAGAGTGACCAGAGAGACTTCACTAAAGCTTGTCCCAGGAGGCTTTGAGTCCACGAGACTTTGTCTTTACAGAGAGAAGCAGGAGTGTCACAGCTTCACGTGTGCATATGCGAAAGGCCCGTGGCGGGACAGTCACGTGGTGTGTGCAAGTGGCTGAAGGGTAGGTGGGCTGGGCCCACACAAGCAGAGTTTGAGCCGGGGAGCCGCACACGTGATGTAGGGCCTCCTGAAGCTGGTGGCTGGGGTGGGGGCCCACTGGCCTCGAGGGGTGAGGAGCACTGCCGGGGAGAGGCCAGTGTGTGGGGGTGGGAAGCTGGAGTTGTCTGGTCAGCAGGCTTGCGTCATGAGGCTGGTCTCGATCCAACAGAACCAAATCAACAAGCGTGTTTGACGTCCTTGAGGTGCAGAGCCTCGTGCCAAATACTTGGGGAGAAATGGGGTGCTGGCCAGGAGAGGCTGCCTGCCCGAGCGGTGGTCTGTCCACCTGTCCAGTTCCCTTGGCGTGGCCAGGCACAGCACAGCAGCGGGTCGGCGGGGACACTGCCCTGGGGGTGCCCAGCGCCCCCAGTGTCCAGGGTCCCAGAAGTGGGTGGTGATCAGGGTGAGCGCTGACTACTTGGGTTTCTTTCAGCTTGTTTACCTGAGCCTGGAGACTGAACGTTCCCCCTGCAAACAGGAGACTGAACGTTCCTGAGATGTGGAGATTGCCTCTTCTTAGGTTGTGGAAAGTTCTGTCTCCACCGTCACACGATCATGCTTCGAGCAGACGGCCAGGAGGTGGGCGTGCACCTGGAGGGGCCAGGCTTCATTCTAGAGTCAGGATCTGAAGGCCCCTCCGGGGAGGCCTGTTGGGCCACCCCAGAAGGGACCCTCCAGTCCATCTGTTAACAGCAAGCTCAGATTTTTGGCTTTGGAGTTTCTCTGTGGACCCGAGGAGGGACTGTCACACAAGTCTTCTGAGGCACAGCAGATCCGCAGAAAGGCATTGTGCCTTTCACCCTTGGGGGCCACCATGGGGACAGATGTCTTCTACATGACACTCTGGAGCACCTCGGTTTTGAGTCTTTCCATCAAAGCTGGACGTCAGCTGCTCACTGCAGCGGTGTGCACATCTGTGCAGTGTGGGGTCAGGACAAGCCGTGTATTCGTGGAGCCTTGTCCCTGGCCCTGCTCTGTCCCTGTGAACTTAAGAAGGGGCCTGTCGTTAGGTGCGGTCGGGTTGGTTCTTACTCCCAGCGACCCTGTATGTGACAGAACGAAACGGTGCCCAGTCTTGCGCCATCCTACACTTGCGCCCGTTGTTGCAGCAGCTGTGCCAGTCTGCCTTGTTGAGGGTCTTCCCCTTTTTGGCTGACCCTCTACCAAGCATCGTGTCCTTGGCCAGGGACTGGTCTCTCCTGAGAACAGGTCCAAAGTACGAAAGCCGCAATCTCCCCGTCTTCGCTTCCTGGGAGCACCCTAGCCTGCCTTCTTCCAGGACAGGTTTGTTAGTTCTTTTGGCAGCCCGTGGGGTATTCGGTATCCTTCACCAACACTGTAGTTCACATGCATCGAGTCTTCTTCAGTCTTCCTCATTCATTATCCAGCTTTCACATGCACCAGGTAATACCATGGCTGGGGTCAGGTACGCCTTTGTCCTCAAAGTGACATCTTTGTTCCTTAACATTTTAAAGAGCTCTTCTGCAGCAGAGATGCCCCGTGCGGTAGGGCTTCTGAGATCCTGATGCTGCTCATGGGTGTTGATTGTGGATCCAGCTAAAATGAAATCTTCGACAACTTCAACCTTTTCGCCGTTTATCACAATGCTTCTTGGTCCAGTTGTGAGGACTTTTGTTTTATGTTGAGGTGTAATCCATACTGAAGGTGGTGATCTTTGACTTTGACCAGTAAGCGCTTCAAGTCATCTTCACTTTCAGCAAGCAAGATGGTGTCATGTGTGTATCACAGGTTGTTAATTAGTCCTCATTCTGATGCCACGTTCTTCTTCATATAGTCCATCTTCTTGGATTATTTGCTCAGCATACAGATTGAGTAAGTATGGTAAAAGGCTACAGCCTTGACACCCTCCCTTCCTGATTTTAAACCATGCCGTATCCCCTTGCTCTCTTCGAATGACTGCGTCGTGGCCAGCTTCCTCGTGAGCACAGTGAAGCGTTCTGGAATTCCAGTTCTTCGCAGTGTATCTGTGTTCCGTTCTGACTCACGGCAGCCCCGTGTGTGAGAGCAGAAGTGAGCTCGTAGGGTTTGCAAAGCTGTGCCCTTTCAGAAGCAGACCACCTCTGTCTCCTGGGTTCCTCTGGGCAGGTTTGAACTGCCAACCCTTTGTCTCCCAAGGGCTTCCTGTGCCATGACCTGCTTTTCCTGATTTGAACTTCCTACCTCCTAAAGCACAAGGCGAACTAAAACAACAAGTTACTATCCAACTTTGAAAAACTTTACTGCAGGCCACAAGCATGATTCTTCACTCGGCATAAAAGGGCCTGCCAGAAAATAGGGTTCCCTGGAGACTACAGGAAGGCCGTGGTGGGGGGCCGGAGGACCTCAAAGTCACACTCGCAGCTAGCTTGGACTCTGCGACAAGCCTCCTGCCGCCTAAGAAGGGCTGAGCGAGAAGCCAGTGCTAAGCTTTGACTACCGGCCCAGTGCCTGTGCAGCTGTGTGCTAATCCCCCGCCTGGGGCTGGGTCAGGTCCTTCCCCACCCCTCCACAAAAAGCCAGCTCGAGAGGTGGGGGCAGAGGGATGGCTGACTGCCAACCCCCCCCCACGCCCCATCCCCGCTGGAGCACCTGCAACACCAGGCAGCCAGCCAGCATTGTCCGCAAGGCCACACCTGCACAGCTGGCCACAGGGCACACGGAACCTGGGCAGCACCTGGTGGACCCACCTGGCCCCGCTGCTCCCTCTCAGAGCCTCCTCGCCTGCTAGGGCCCCGGCACTCCAGCCTGGGGTTTGCTCTAGGATTTTCAGGGTCCACAGGTCAACCCTGTGTCCCTGGGGACCAGAGCCGTGTGCTGTTGGCCTGGGAGTCAAACTAGCCCAGAAAGAGCCCAACACAGGTGCCTGGAAACTGGCCGTGGGATGCTGGAGGGGGCAGCACTGGGATGGGCAAGGTGAACGGGGAGGTGGTCGCAGGGGCACAGAAGGTGCAGGGGGCCATAGCGGTCTGGGGAAGGGCTGGGGCTGCGCAGACGTGCTCTGTTGGCTGGAGCTTATAGTGTCAGACTGGAGGCCGTGTGAGGCTGGGCCTTGTGAAAACGGTGTGGCTGCAGCATCTGACCTCTTAACACTGTGAGGTGGGAGGGGAATCACGGTCATTCTCCACTGAGTTCCCCTGACACACAGGTCAGACACCAAACACTGCCATACTCCAACCCCTCCCCAGCACTCGGCCTCCCTGTGGGGTCATCCCTTGCAGTGCCACACAGCTCACAGGCCTTACTCAGGATTGTGGGGTTTATTAGGGCAGGAACAGGTTACAGTTCAGGTTCAGAACAGACTCAGAAGTCACAGGGACCACTCAAGATACCATTCTGACTCAGGGTTGCGTCCCCTCTGCCCCTGGGCTCTGCTCAGGGCTTTTTCCTCAGTGACTGCCAAGCACCGTGGCCCACAGCCCACAGCATCAGCTGTCCTGTTCCGGGGGCTGGGAAGCCCACTGCGCCAGCCTGTGCTGGTTTCTGTTCTGGTGCCACTGCTTCTCGCTGTGTCTTGTGTCACAGCTCCATCTCCTGGGTCTAGGAGGTTCCCTGTGCAGTGACCACAGGCCCTAGGGACATGCTCCACTTGGTTCAGGTTCCCCCCACTACCCGCCACCCCCTGCCCCATTCACCTCTGAGAGGACTCCTTTAGAAGTCCAGCAAAACTGGCCAATTCCCTCCTTAGGTTCCATATACCTTATTTGTGTGACCCCACCCCCACAAGGGTGACATGAACCTTATTGGCATCATTAGCAAGTTGTCCAATCCCCCTGGTGGGCCACAATCAACTCATTTGCATAGTGCCACACAGTCATTTGGTGGGCGTAGACCAGGGCTAGAAGGGCCATGTGCAGTAATTCATGGCACCACAGGCCTCACTGGTGTGGTTGGATGCACCAGGGATCACGTCCTACGAGAACCACAGGGTGTAGACCTCATGGCTAGTTGGCAGAAGGAGCAGGTCTGGGGCTCCCCCACCTGAACAGCAGGCTGGAGGGCCTAGGAGAGGGTGGATCTCAGGGAAGGAGAGGTGACTGCCCCCATGGCTGCTCAGCTGATACGGCACCCCCACCACTGTGCCTGGTCCCTGGCAGTCCTGACACCCAGCAGTGCTCAGCACGCAGGTATCGGGCCTTGGGAATGGACAGCACCCTACTCCACGAGATAGCCAATACTAACGTGCTTGGGGACAGGATGTGGTAGAACGCCGGGGTTCGTCAGAGACCCAGCCACACTCTGTACCCGCCTTTTGAATCCACACACGGCCCTCCAGCTGAGCATGATGGACCCTGCTGGCCTGCCCCTCCCCGCCTCCCTCAGGGGGCATTGCTGGTGGCCTGTCACCTGTCCCAGTCTGCAGACAAGCGGAGTGCAGAGATCCCCCGCCAGCTGCACGGCTCTCTGGGTTCCCTGGTGGCCCACGAGGTGTTCACCACCACAGCACCCGGACTACTGGCCATGCCTCACAGCACAGGCACTACGCATCTGGGAAAACGGGCTGAGGTCTGCTTCTCTGGGGAGCACGGCTCCACCTTCACCACCAGGAAGTGCCCAGTTCCAACGCCGTCCTCATGGGAAGATTCGGGCAGTAAGTGCAGCCATGTTCCTACCCCTTCAGCAGCTTGAATCTCATCCTTGCTCAGCGCCAGGGCCTGGGGGCGGCAGCCCCTGGCCACCCAGCAGGTTGGCAGCCGACGGTGGGCCAGGCGGCCCGACACACTGAGCTGTGGGTACCTTTCTGGGGACACTGCACCTAAGTTCTACGGTCACGTCAACACCCCAGGCTTGGCTCCACTGGCGGAGAAGTCACAAGGCAGAGGCAACAATGGGTAGTAAAATTTCAACTTTATTTGGCCGTGTGTTCAATTCCAATATTAGGTAGAAATGCCTCAAGAGTTGTCGACACTTGACTTGGCTCAAGCCCCCCTGGCCATCACCCAGCCAAGTCCCCGTTCCCAGTCCGGGAATCAAGGTCCTGTTTTGCGCTGTGGCCAGCCTCGGGCCACCTCACAGGGCAGGGGGTCCAGCGTCACAGAGCCGGGACGGGAGAGGGCTGCCATCCAGGCCTGCCCTGGCCGTGGAGCAGAACAGCAGCCCCTTTCCTGGGTGGGACCCACCCTCTGACAGAGACCCGGAAGTCTCCATTTAACCAAAAAACGAAAGAGCCACACTCAGCCGTGGCCACACTGGCACGAGGCAGAGAGTGGCTGTGCCCAGCCTGGGCTGCTTCCGCCCCTCTGGGGGACGGGCTCCCAGGGGCCACACCCCCCACCAGCAGAAACGTTTAGCAATCCCTGAAAACCGACGGTACAAACCTCTACAGGAAGGGCCACCAGCGTGATTCCCAAACGTTCCAGAGAGCACCCGGGCAGCAACCAGGCACAAGGAAGGACAGCACACTAAAGAACCCAAGTGACAGCAGTCCAGCCAGGCGGAGGCGGGGCCGGGGCCATGGGTGAGGGGTGGACACGTGTAAGGAGAAGCATCAGAGTCCCTGGATTTCCGGTCGCTGCCCCTGAGGGGGTCCTGGGGTCTCGGGAGGCACCGCTGCTGGCGGTGCCCCCCGGGGTGTGAGCGTCTGGTGGCCAGCTCGCCTTCAGCCTCACAGCTCGTCCTTCACAGCTTTCTGGTCGTCGTCGTCCTCCATGTCAGGCTCCTCCGCCTCCTCCAGGTCCTCCAGGTCCTGGCGGGTGAGAAGCGGGTGGGGGCCCAGGGAGTGTGGGTTGCCACTCACTCGGGACAAGCAGCCGGTGCGCCCCACTCCACCCCAGAGCCCTGCCGCGACCACCTAGGTGCCTGCGTCCCAGAGCTCCTTTCGCTACTTGAACAGCTTCCCGCTGCCAGATGAGGTTCCCATGAAGGGGCTGCCCCCACTGTCTGTCTCACACCCCCTGCCACGTCCCCTGCAGAGAACAGGCATTGAAGGAACACTGATGCCTCGCTACCCAGTAGGGTTCCCTCCTCTGGTGCAGGCACACCGGCCGAGAGGCTGCAGAGGGACACTGTGAGTCAAAGCTGGCAGAAGCAGGAGCGAGAGCCTCATGGGACACTCCACGAACAGACCCTGCACTCCCGCCACCCTCCTGCAGCACGGGGGAGGCTGTCCTTACGGGTGAGCGGCCAGTGCCTGGACACACAGACACGTGTGGCTGAGACCTGGCAGGACCCCAGTCCAGGGCTCTGAGGCCAGAGAAAATGACACTTACGTCCTCATCCCCTGCCCCATCCTGCCCGCCGCTCTCCAAGAACTTCTTAAAGCCTTCCAGTGTCCGCTCCCCATTGTAGTCAATGACCTGTGGGGACATGGAGAGTGAGGCCCACCCCGGGCCCCCCACAGCAGCCCTGCCCCCACTGCCCACCCTGGGAGCGCACCGTCTTGTCGGCACTGGCAGGAAAGAACTTGAGCGTGGGGAAGCTATGCACTTTCACTGCCTCCACTTCGTTGGCCGTGGCATCCATCTTGGCAATGACGATGTTCTCGTGGTCCTTGTATGTCTCCCCCAGCTTGTCCCAGATGGGTGCCAGCTGTTTGCAATGACCACACCATGGGGCATCTGCAAGGAGAGCAGTTCTGGTCTATCCCCAAGTCCCTGCCCATAAGCCACTTCCACCAGCCCCCGAGAGCAGGAGACATGCCGGCAGACGTGGCACTCACAGAACTCCACGAAGACGTTCTTCTTCTCGTCAAAGGCGACCTCCTCGAAGTTCTTGCCAACCAGCACTTTGACAGGCTGCTTGTCCCAGTCCTCAGGCAGCTCCTGGCTCATCAGGTGGGGCTGTGGACAGAAAACCCGGTCACAGGGACAGCGCAAGGGCCTCCGAAGAGCACGCAGACCAGAGCCAGCAAGGTGCCAGAACTGCAGGGACGCAGGGCTGCCTGCCCTGGCTTCAGGAGACAGCCAAGACACTTGTCCCACTGCCCTGCAGCAGGAGGGGACACTGAGGCCTCAGTGTCCCCAAGGGCTCTATAGGAATGGTGGCTTTCATCGTGGCCCCCGAGCTCTCACACCGGGGAGGCCCTGCATCGTGGACACAGCTCCTTACCTTGATCTTGCCCTCCAGGAACTGGTCACAGAACTCCTTGATCTTGTCTGCTGTGAGCTCGGCCGACTCAGGCTTGTACTTGGTCATTTCCTCCTCCAGCGTGATGAGGCGCACGGCCGGGCACTCCTCCTTCTTCAGACCAAAGAACTCGAGGATGCGCTGGTTGTCGGTGTGGTCGCTGTCGATGAAGATGAACAGGATCTCGGGGGAGAAGAAACGGAGATGACACCGAGGTCCCCAATGCTCTGCTCGCACCACTGGGCCCAGAGCAGGCACAGGGCCTGGGAGTGTGGCGCCCGGACAACCCCTCCCCTCGATCCACTGAGCGACACCCCTGCACGACCCAGTGCCCCAGAAGCAGTAGCGCACTGTGCCGTGGCCGGCTGCGAGCCGGGAGGCTCACCTTGCCCTTGAAGCTCTCCGCTGCCTTCTTGAAGCTGCTCAGCTTACCGTCGTAGTCGGACACGCTCTTTGGCAGGAACAGTAGGATGTGTGTCTTGATCTCACCTCCAAAAATCTTCGGGGCCGTCTGCGTCATAAGCATAGTCGCTGGACCCGGGCCATGAGCCAAGCATCAGGGTGGGCACCCAGCGTCCCGCCACCCCGTGCCCACCTGGTCCTGGCAGCCTACCTGCTCTGTGAACTCGATGACCAGTGGCAGCTGGTTGTGCCTGATGAAGCTGAGAAGGTTCTCCTTGGTGACCTCCCCCTCAAAGTTGTTCCGACCTTCGTCAAACTGAGGACAGAGAAGGGTGTCAGAAAACCAAGACCCCATGGGCCACCTAGGCTTGGCACGGTGCTCTGCCCTTCACTCTGCGCTCCCACCTCACACTAGAGAGTGAGCAGGGCCACGACAGTCAGTGGTGAGGGCAAAGGGCCCACTCAGCACTGCTGCCTCCTGATGAGTGGGGCTGGAGGAAGCATGTCCACGCCTGGGCAGCAGCCTCCACGGGCCAGGAATGGGGGCGGCTCCCCCAGAGGCACCTGACCTGTGGCAAAGCACAGCCAGCACGGACCAAGCCCTTCCGTGAGCCCCTCACGCAAAGCTTTCCGTCCGCAGTTCTGAGAGCCTCTGCCTCCTGAGCACCAGTCAAGCGCCTGGATTTAACACCTACTACCCTCAGCTCCGTGAGGCTGACACTTGGTCTGCATTGCCCCAATGACCCCTTCGGGGCCTGTGAGGTCACAGTGTGCCCTAACCCCACTCTCAACCTGCCAGGGACACACTGCCGAGTCTCAGAGGCCATACACCGTGAGCACAAGGCAGGCTGGCTGCAGGAAGAGGACCCAGCCGCCTGCCACAAAGCTGCTGGACCGTCCTTACCACCAACACTTCTGCTCGAGAAAATTGGAAAACGTCGCTTATGATGACACGTACAGGGCTTATGGTTGAGTTTCAAGGTTTCTGTTTTAATTCCCAGTATGACAAGCATCAACAATTACAATCTACAGCGACAGAGGCTCTTTCGGGTCAGTCCTGTGATGTGAAGGCACTTAGGGAACCTTAACCCCACGCAGGTAGAGGGTGGCCGCTCTAGGATGTCGGCCACTGTTACTCCAGAGGTGGCCGGCCCGGCCTCAGGAGGGGAGGGGCTGCTGCCCTCTTAACAGGAACAAGAGGAGCAACGGCCACAGGAAGTCAGTTTGCACAGCAGGAACACTTCCCCAGGGTGCCTCCCCAGCCTCCAGGGACAGGGACAGACAGCTCATCTTCTGCATCTTGAGTCATCTCTCACTTCCTCAGAAATTCCCACAAGAGTGGCCAATACCCACACCCACTGCCTGCACAGAGCCCTGTGGCCGTGCCTTCAGGCTCCACCAGCGAGCATACGGCTAACCATGCAGCCCTGCTGACCACATACCTGTCACTGTGAGGGGACACACACAGTGCCACGCTCCCCACCGGGCTCTCAAGGAGACAAGATAAAGGAGGTGGCCGCGGCCAGCAGGCTCATCTGGGGGATGGGGTGCTTGCTGACCTACTGCAGCAAGCCCGCTCTGTCTAGGGGTCACGGGGAGCAGTGATCAGGGAGATGGGAGTCCATGTGCCCCGCAGCTCCCCAACACCAGCCCAGCTAGAGAGGCCACCACACATCACAGGAGGCCTGTGACCCACTCTGGGAAGAACAGGCAGGCAGCAGAAGCAGCCCTAGTGGCACCACTAAAGGCCAGCGTCCAGGCCCCCTCCCAACAGCCCACCGAGCTGCCACAGTGCTAAGAGCAAGAGGGAGGAAACGTCCGGACACGGAGCCATCAGCTCGCCAGACCGTGGTCTCACTTCCAAGGACCAACGGCCCTTCACCAGCACTGGTCCTCCTGCCCAGCTTGCCACCTGGTCTCACCACAATCCTAGCACAGGAGAGCTGGGTGCTTTGAGGAACTAGGTCTCAAGCCCAAGCCACTAGCACAGGCCGCAGGCTCTGGCCTGAACCGCGGTCCAGGCAGCCTCTGTCCTGCCCCAGCTCCGGCCCCTCCTGGCCCGCAGCACAGCTCCTCAGGGAGCAGAGTCCACAGCTCTGGACACCTCTGTCCGAGGCAGCCCTGCCTTTACCACACATCCTGCGTCAGCCACCCTGTGTTGGGGAGACACCGTCCCCGGGGGGCAGGGGACGTTCCAGCCGTGCAGACAGCACCGCATTGAGCAGGGGAATCTTTCCCCCTGGAAAGACGCCCTACTGTGCACTGGCTCTCCCCGTGGGAGTAAGAGAACCAGTCCCCAATGTGGCCTGAGGAAGGCCCGTAAACACCCATAGGTCAGTCACATGATCCACCTAGAAAGACGCCCTACTGTGCGCTGGCTCTCCCCGCAGGAGTAAGAACCGGTCCCCACTGTGGCCTGAGGAGGGCCCACAAATACCCACAGCTCAGTCTGGGGGTCATGAGCAATGGGGACGAGCCACGCCCCCCAGGCCTGAGAACAGGCAGTTGTCCCAGACGCCTGACTTCAACCATCCACGCTGCTTTGTAATCAGGTGTCTGATTAAAACCTCCTAGCATCTTTGGGACAAGCCGATTTAAGGCACACTGGAAGGATTTCAAGAGGAGCTGTGGTGGTGCAGTGGTTAAAGCATTTGGCTGCAAACCAAAAGTTGGTGGTTTGAAACCACCATCCATCCTGGGGGAGAAAAACAAGGCAGCCTGCTTCCAGAAAGACTGACAACCTTGGAAACCCCGTGAAGCAGTTCTACTGTCCGCTGGGGTCACTATGAGTCAAAGCAGAGCTGACAGCAGTGCGGCTACAGTGTTGGTCTGGGAGCCTCTACCGGGCCCAGGCAACACTACAGAGTGCAGGGAGGGGGGCACTCAGACACAGAGCTGCCTGCGCCACGGCACCGGGCCTGGGGGAGACCTTTCCAACAGACCAGGTGCCAGGCTATCACTGGGAATGCTGGTCCACCCCCACCCCGACCTGCGCCCACTGGGTGTTTCACATGTGGCACACCCGGGATGGCCTGAGACCAGAGGCCAACACACTGCCCAGCCACCTCCAGACCGACGCATCAGTCCCGACTGCACGGCGACTGGTTTCACAGTTGTCTTTCCACTGAGAAAACCAAGATGGGGGTCCTATGCAAACCCCTGCCCTGAAGCCCCCTCCTGCTCTCCCAGATCCTATCACTGGCACCTGTCCCTGCCTGCCTGCCTGGTGACAACCCTCCCAAAGACTAAGATAAAAGGCACAAAGCGGCCCTGCTACATGCGCTCTCACAGGCCAACACTGTGCAACAAAGACACACAGGTCAGCAGAGCAAGACAGCAGCCTCTCCAAGGAGCCCAGCCGCCAGCTTTCAGTCGAGACCCTGGGGATGGTGGAAGCCCTTGGGGCTGGGACCCAGGGTGCAGGGCTTTGCCAACAAGGTGGAAACGTTTCCCAAAAAGCTATCACTCAGAAGCAGCTCTGCTCGGGCCTTATGTAAATACTGCACGCAGGCCAGCATCGTGGATGCCTGAGAGGGCGCCTGAGAGGCCCCGTTGCACCCTGATACCAAGGCCCCGGATGGTGCTCTGCAGGGTTGCAGCCCCAGGGCCTCCTGGGGGCAAGGTTCTTCCTGGCAGGAGCAAAGCAACCTTCCCTTCTCAGCCCAGAGACCAGCAGATGGGGGACCACGATGGCTGCCTGGCACCTCACCTTCTTGAAGAGGGCAACCCCATCCTTGTCGAGCTGGTACTTGGAGAACACGTCACTGTTGGAAGTGATCCCAAACGGTATGTCATCGATGGACTCTGCCGCCAGTAAGAACTGCTTGGCAAAGTCAGACTCCATGTCCTGGAAGAGGCGGGAGAGGGTGGCCACACAGCCCAGCACCACCTGCCCATGTGGGGCAGCAGTGCGGCCAGCCTGGGAACAGGGCCCTTGCCGGCAGCCGTGGCCACGCAGCCCCACACTGCCCACCCACAAGGGGCCACAGCAGGACCAGGCCTGGGGACAGGTAGTGGGACCCTTGTGGGCCACAGCACAAAGTGAGGTTGGGAGTGGCAGTCCAGCACCTACCTTGAAGAAGCCGATGACAGCCACCTCGCTGGACTCCACGAGTGACTCTGCGGCGGCGCTGTCAGCCAGCGTGGTGGCAGCAGGACCCGTGCGCTTCTTCAGCCAGTTCACGATGTCATCAGCCTCCCTGCCAGCTGCGCTCAAACAAAGGCAGGTCGACTCTTAGGTCAGGAACGCAGGCACCCGGAGGCAGCTGATCTCTGGCTCTTGCCTGAGAGCTTGCCAGGCTGGCCAGCACCGCAGGACCCAGCACCCAGCCACCTTTCAAACCCCAGCTTTAAAGCAACTGTGAGACCAGGCATGTTTCAAGAGAGCGACGCGGATCAACTCTCTTTTCTCCTCTAATCCTGATGGGTTTTCTAAGCCTTACTCAACATTAGATTCACTAAGCGCACGTGTGCACTTTTCTTCCCCCTCAGGATCTCAGAACGACTTGGTCTTGCCTTAGTGACGTGATATAATTAAGAAACATGACTTAAGAAAGTTAGCCTCAGCACCGGGTGTCCCCTCACCGTCCTAGGCCTCTGAGCTCACACAGGTGGGGGCCAGACCTGCCCTCCATCGTTCCCAGACTGCTAGGAATTAAAGAGTCATCGTCACTGTCTCGCATGCCATCAGAGCAGACCCAAGGACACTAGGAAGAGCCCCTAAGCCCCTTGATGACCACTTTCCCCTCGAGTCTGACTGATGCAGGACGAGCACACGAGGACTCACACCACAGGAATCCTGCGGAGTGGGGAGGCACCAGCTGGAAGTGGGTTTAAGAGCACTGTCCCACCCACTAAACCTAACTGTTAGCAACAGCCAACTCCGAGCGCCACCAACTCCGAACACGGTACTTCCCGTCTTGAGAACAAACACGAGGACTGGTGGGAGCCACACACACACCGCCACCAGGCAATTAGAGGTTTGCCTCTGCTGACACTGGGATAGCTGGTCACAGGCCACAACCACTCAGGCCTGCACGGACAAGACTCTCCTGAGGCCAGCAGTACCACGGGGGCTGGAGGTGGCCATCCTGCCTTTCCAATGCTCTCCACAGCAGCTGCCGAGTCAGGCAGTAGGGAGCCCTGCTCTGGGCAGACGGAGCTGGGTCTGCATTTGAGCGCTGCCACCAGCACCGTGACGCCGGGCATACAACTGAGCTACTGCTCGGCTCTTCACGGGCGCTCGACACCTGGCACGACATGCGCACTTGGTTAGTGACCGTCGCCTTGGGCGTCATCACTACTCCTAGAAATGTTGCCAGCTCGCAGGGCCTGCATGGCTGTCATGGCACACCAGCCACCGTCTCCTCAGTGTTCAATCACTCCCCTTCCCACCCCAGATCACACAGTACCCCCAGCCAAAGGCTCCCCTTCACACCCAGACATCAGCCTAGACGACACATTATCCTGCCACCTGAGGGCTCTTCCAGGACAGAACACGTCCCACGTGGGATCTTTACAGCCTGAGCCAGATGGGCCACCTGGCCTTTGACCGGCCCCTCTCCACCTGTCAGCCCTCCCTGGCCGAGTCTCCAGCTGAGAGCTTCTCCAGGACCTACAGGTGAGTCACTCCGTACCTGAAGGGTAAGAGCCAAGGCAGACGCACCTGCGCGCTCCCCCGGGGGGAAGCCGGGCCTCACCTGTGTATTCTCTGGGGGAAGCCGTGTCCCCATTCTTGAAGAACTTGATGGTGGGGTAACCTCGGACGCCATACTGCTGGGCCAGGTCCGACTCCTCCGTGGCGTCCACCTTTGCCAACCTGATCTCTGAGCCTTCTGCCTTCAGTTTCCCAGCTGCTTTGGCATATTCAGGGGCCAGCGCTTTGCAGTGACCACACCAGGGGGCATCTGGAAAGGAAAGTCAGAGGTCAGGAGGGGCACCAGGCTGGGTCACTTCCCTCTGGGCTCCTTCGGTGCCTCCTCCGCAAGCACCTTATCGCGCCTGAGATAAGCGTCCCCTGAGCAGTATCTCGGTGCGTTGGGCAATACGGTTCAAGGCAAACCAGCACCGCGCTCGGCCGCCCAGACTTAATGATTAATACCTGGCCTCACCTGCGACAATCAGGCCGCCAGCAGCCCTGGGCGCGCCCCTGCGGCGCCCGAGCAAAGGGGAGCCGGGTGGCAGCGGTGCGCCCGGCAGGGAGCTGTCACGGGTGGCGCGTCCGCGCTCACGGCCCGGGGCTCCCAGCCCGGGACGGGGCTCCCCACCGGGGCTGGGCCCGACCCGGCCGTCTCACACCCTCCGGGGTCCTGCCATGTGAACGTCAGATACCACGCCGCCCGAGCGGCTCCCAGCCCGGCCGTCGCCTGCCAAGTCCGGGGCACACCTGCCTCCCCGGACGCACGAAGGACGCCCTCCAAGGTACACGGAGAGGAGGGGGCACCGAGGTGCGGAGACTCCGCCCGGCCGAAGAAGGGCCCGCCGCTGGAGACGCTGAGAGCGGGGCGAGGCCAGGGCGCCCAGACACCCGGAGCGAGGGCGCCAGGCCCACAGGCCCGGCAGCGGCGCCTCCAGGGTGGCCGGAGTCCCGGGCCACACCTCCCTCCCACCAGCCGGCGACGGGGGGGATCTCGGGCAGGGTCCCAGCCCAGGGCGAGGCGCGCTGGGCCCGCTGGGGTTGCTGCTTGGAGGGCCGGGGCCCAGGGTCAGGGCCAGACGGGGCCGCGCGCTCCACTCACAGAACTCCACCAATAGGTACTTGTGGGCCGCCAGCGCCTCCTCGAAGTTGCTCTTCTTCAGGACCAGGACGTGGTCCTCTTCTTCGGGGGCGTCGGCGCGGACGCTGGCCGCCACGGCCAGGGCAAGGCAGAGCAGAGCGCGGCGTAGCATGTCGGCGCGGATAGGCGCTTCGGTTGGCGCCGCCAGGACAGTGAGAGCAGAGCGCGCGCCCGGCCGGCCTCGCCTTTATACATCC